TTTAAGAGAGTGTATATATATATATATATATATATATATATATATATATATATATATATATATATATATATATATAGTCATGCCATGGTTAGAAGTGAAGCTGGACCTAAACAAAAGCTCTAATAACTGTTACTCAAGAAACATGGAAAGTTCAGACAAAAAAAGTCAAACTTACTCTCACACACAACACACATCAAGAATTAAGTCGGTCATAATACACACAGGTCTTGTCATGAGTTGCAGCAGCTGATCTACTTGGTGAACTGTTGACTACTTGTTTACGGTTAAAACTCGATTGGATTTTTAGAGGCAAATGTTCATTTGCTTATGTATTCAGCTGTAATTCAGGTCCTGTGATGCCTCAATGACCTCAGGTAGTGTGTGAAGCTGATGACTAACCAGAAATGACTGCTTCTGGCATAATGCGCTCCCTCTCCCTCCTTTCCCTCTCTCTATTTCTTTCTCTGCCTGAACTGCCCCAGAGCCATAAGACAATTGACAAGCCGCTAAGAGCAGGGAAAGTCCCACTGGAGACTCTTGGCAGAGGGACAGAAAAGCAGCTCACAATCGAATAAGAGCAAGGCGACTTAATGGACTACAATGTGCTGACTGAGTTTGCAGTGACTGACTTGCACACTACTCTATTATGTGCACTAAAGTCCTTCATTCAGGAGGGCGCTTTATAGAAGCTGTGATGTCACCATCTATTTAACTGTAATGAGATATAAATCTCAAAAATGCCAAACTAGCCAAAAGTACTATGGTACATATTATTTTGATTTTTTTTGTTTTGTTTTAAAATGTAATTTATTCCTGTAATTGCAAAGTTGAATTTTCAGAAGCCATTACTCCATTCATCAGTGTCATACAATCCTTCAGAAATCATGCTGATTTCATGCTCAAGAAATATTTCTGATTATTATTAATTTGAGAGTAACTATGAGGTGCCTCTACAACCTCTTTTCCACAGTCAAGAACCACAGGGATCACAACGATCCATTAAAAAAAACATTCCATAGTTAATAAAGGTGCAACAATAATATGATCATGTACTATAGTCTGATACAGAGGTCTGGTACATAATAACAGTCAGGTTACATAAATAGTGAGTTATCAACATTCACTCCTGGTACTCTTCAAATGGCAAGTACAAGGGATTGTAACAGTGCAACACATTTTAATAAGCATTCCCATCTGTTGTATGTTATGTGCTGTTACTCTCAGGAGATTGTACTGGAGCTGCAGCCATTAAGGGCTGTCTTACAGTGGGCTGAGGGACAGATCAGGAATAACAGCTCCCTCATCTCTTTCTGCTCCACTTTAATTAAACTAGGGGAATAAAGATAGGCTTCGACATATGTTCCACTGAGTTTTCTGCTGAAACAAAGAACATGGATGCACATGCATGTTTTTTTCCACAAGAGCAACCACAAGATTGAACATGATAATATATATATATATATATATATATATATATATATATAGATGGATTATCTCGGCATAGGAGAAGTGCTCACTAACACAGATTTAGACAGATTTACGAACAATATTTGACAGAAATAGGCCTTTTGTGTACATAGAAAAAGTCTTAGATCATTGAGTTCAGCTCATGAAAAATGGGGGCAAAAACAAAAGTGTTGCGTTTATAATTTTGTTCAGTGTATATATATATATATATATATTGTGATGCAGCCAGTCTAGAAAGATAATGACATTTAACTCAAGCCCAAATTATAGTTGCTTATTTTGTTACATAATTTGACATTATTAAATTATCTTAGCCTTTTATTCTGCATATACACTAAAAATATATTTATATTGAAACAGTTTTTATTCACAAATAATTACAAAAGAAATGTCAAGTAACACATTGAATGAAACATGGCATTTTTAAGTAGAAAGTCTGAAATAGTATTTTATTTTCTTGTAAATTTACTTCATGAATGGTTTTATTTACAAATTTGAAAGAAAAAAAAAGAGTGTACACTACGATTATTTTTTTCAGCAAGGATACATAAAATGTATTCAAAAACTGACAAAAGACATATATCTTGTTGCAAAAGATTTCTATTTCACATAAATGCTGTTCTTATGAGCGTTCTATTCACCATAGAATCCTTTAAAAATGTTTCACGGTTTCCACAAAAAAGCCGATTTCAACATTGATTATAATATGCCATGTAACACTAAAGACTGGATTTATGGCTGCTGAAAATTCAGTTTTGACATCACAGGAATAAATTAGATTAAAAATATATATTAAAATAGAAAACAGTTCTTTTAATGTGTAGTACTTTTTCACAATATTACTGTTTTACTGCATTTTTGATCAAATAAATGCAGGCTTGGTAAGTATAAAAGACTTCAAAAACCTTTCTGGCCCCATTTTGAATGGTAATGTAGCTTGAAGACTGTCGATTTCAGTTGACAACAAGTTATTTACAGTACCTGAAGTGGTTGTTTTTGAAGATGGCCTCGCTGTAGGCCACAGCCAGAAGCCTAGGGCTTGCCTGAGCTGCTCCCCCACTTTGGGCCACCTTACTTAGGTGTCGGGTCAGATGAACCAGGAGCTGGTGGTTAGCCTGAGGGACACTGGGAGAGTCAAGGATTCTTTTCAGCTGCTGTCCACACTCCTCCATGCCTTGGGTTTCTAAAAGAGACAGAGAGAGACTGTTGGCAGCACAAAAACACAAACAGCTTCAAGCCCTTATTGACTATCCATATCTATGAAGGGAAATGGGAGCAGACAGAAAATAATATTCATACAAAAGCAAATTGGACACTGGAATTCATCTATTATTAGATATGAAAATATGTGATTTGATTTGAATGTTAAATTTAATCTAAATAGAATACACTCATACTTTTGAATGGCTGTCAATGGATAAGATGCATTTAGCAGCCAGATGATGCAGTAGCATCTACCAGCAGGGACTAAAAGCGAAACATCCACCCTGTGGTTCTAATAATATAGATGTAACTCATCTGAACTCAGACAGCAGCATTGAACATTGGGGCACATTACAAAACCCATGACCTGGGACTGGAAAGTCAGCTCAGCAGGAGTTAAAGTGCTAGCCTAAAATTGCCCTCGAGTCCATTGTCTATGAGCACCCACAAGGACAATGCAGTTATTGCGACAGCTTCCAACATATTGATGAGCTCCTTTGAGATGGGGTTTCCCACAGCAAGAAGGTCAGCATCTGTGATTCAGGCTTATTTAAGCTAAAGTGTACCCTGGTGGCACAGCTAAGATATGTGCATTTCATCCCTAAGTCCCCTACACACAATGAATATTTGTCTTCATCAGCCAGAGGAACATGGATACAGTCTGGATATCAATGAGGGACATAATCCAGTCTGGAAAGTACAGAACGAGGGGGAATTCACTAAGAATGAACTGCTGATACTGCTGTTTATTCACTATGTATGCCTGGTTATAACTCTTGTCACCATAATTTGAAGAATTAACAGTCACTATAACTGATAAAAAAAGTACACAAACACCTAATTTAAACAAAATTTTCTACATGCTTTTCCACATGCAATGTTCTAGGACTTCAGAAATGAAGGAATTTAATTCATACAGACAAAATACAAACAATGTTGAAAATTATTATTGCACACCAAAAAATAAAAAATATTTGGCCAGCCAGATGGGCACCGGTGCTCAAGGCATGAGAGTTACCACTGAGTAATGCTCTTAAAATGAAACTTAGACACTCAATGGGACTCAAAACTTTTACCAGAAAAATAACTTTTTGCACTTTGCATCCACTAAATAAAATTGTCATGCTTTGGGAAGCAATACATTGTCAAGTTGATTTGTGTTAGATTAAAGCTTGAAATTAATTTGATTGTTCTACCCTTAAGTCATGCATCATAAAACTCCTGGAGTTTTGGATAACATGATATTTAAAAAAAATTATTTAATAGTTTGAATTGGTGTGTTGATTAAATTAAGCATATCAAACAAAAGCATGCTTGATTTCACAATTAAATAGATTTTATCCAGGGAAGAGGGAGATAGAGAAAAAAAAAAAAGAAGTATATTATTATTAATACATATTTTAGGATAGGAGAGTTTAGGATATTGTTGTGTTGTGTAATGGTATTCACATTAGTTACACATTCTGACTAGCAAGTTCAAGTCCACCTACAAATGTAAGTTGTTATATTCATAAATAATTTAATTCACTGGTATTCAGCACTGAATTATTTGAATAATTTAAATAAAAATAAATAAATAAACTTCTGTCATGACAACTCTAGGAGGGATATGTTAATGTATTTGGTCTTGGCGGAATAGATCTGCTACGCTGCTGCTGCGGCAGAGCAAGTACCGAGACTTGCTACTGCCAATACATCCACAACATGTTGCTGTGAGCGTGTAAGAAATATTGCTGCTGCAAATATAACATACATGAAATAACCCCCATATAGCATACATGAATCACCTCGTAGCAGCTCTATAAAGGTGGAGCTGGGGAAGGTGGAGGTTTTCTGAAGCAAGCTGCCACTGCTACAGCAAGCACTAGTCATATATTTGAATGTTAAGCAGCGAGCTCATTGGCTACCGATACAGGAGAGAACCAATCAGCTGTGCCCTGTGATAATGATGTCATTAGGTCAGATTGAGATAGACCTATCGGACTGCGCCATCTAGAGTTTCATGCCAGAACTCTGTATATCTTTGCCAATTCTAATAAGATTAACACTGGAGTTGGCCAATTGTACACCAACAGGAAAGCTCTGAAACAGAAAGAGGTCAAGTGTCATTTGAAAACCTGAGAAGGTGCTCGAATTCATTCACCTCTCCTCACCTCCAACATCCTATGCCATTTTAGTATAAGAAAAGTGACTGACCCCCACGGCTAAATTGTAATTGCATTGATCGTCCCTCTGACTAATTGTAAAATAAAGTTTCCCTGTGATCAGGTTCTAGTGAAATCAAAAACCTATTAAGCTTTGCTAATGACCTTCTCTCTCCAAATGTGATTAGTTTGTTGACTTGCCGTTATGCCTGCATCCAATGCAAATCGTCAGGATATTCTAGGTATTCCAGATGAACCAGATAAGTAATACAAACTGCTTGGGAGGGACTTACAATGGCAGAAGGTGAAACCATAAGTAGACCATAAATTACCCATTAAGCCCATATCAGAGTAACAGGAAAAAAAACAAAAACAAATGTTAAACATAAAAAATAAATGGAATATTATTTGTTGAGTCTTTTTCATGAACATACTTTGGTGTAGTATGGAGTAAGGATAGTGAATTTAAAATTGTAAACAATTAAGAACAAACAAAAATTAGGACAGAAAAACAAAGAAGAAATATTAAAGATTTTGCAGTGTTTATAGGTTACTAATAAAATGAAGTGGAATCAGGAAAAAACTTGAGAGTCTTGAGAGAATTCTATAGAACACTATAGGGCTTTTTAGTTTTAGTTAAACTTAAGGGTCAGGACACAGTACAAAACGCAAGGCCCAAGCACAATGGTCCGTCTATGGCATGTATAGATAGAAAAACAATGGAAAATCAGTGCAGTGGAAAGCAAAACAGGTTCTTTGTGAACGGACTCTAAGAGCTTTGGAACTCTAATATAAAAGTAGGCAAAACCTTAAATTTTCCTTAGAATTGTCAAAAGACATTTTGAACCATTTGTCTCGCCATCATGTTGATTGCACTTCTGAAAATGTGCAATTTATCAAGCCTCTACAGACATAGTGTTCTTCTACATTAAACTCACTTGGCTAAAAAAGTAAAAAAGCTAATATCAGGCTAGATTAGTGCAGGGATTTTCCATAACCCAAGTCCCCCTCTATCACAGAGGAACAGTCATGCGAGAAACGACCACCTATTGATCACAGTTTCTCGATGACTCCCATTTACTGGTCGCGATGTCCATCACGAGCTTCCACATGTATTTAATATTTTTCTAAAATCAGCCCATCTGCTGATCTTTAATTTCTTGCCTGCCAGTGGCCCAAATCGATTGATTCCCCCTGCTTGGCTTGATCCATATATTGTTGGAGTGTGCTTTTAAATGCCCAGCTTGTAAAGTGTCTAATCCACTACAAACAGATTTGTTTAGTTCATCAAGAAGCTTTTGCCCCATCCCTATCTCTCCACCAACCCTCATGTTCCTCCATTTAAATGCCTATCAATTAAACTCATTGTCAAATTCAGCCCTCCGATCTGTCTAGCCTAAAACTATTGATCCACCAGGCCTTTGTTTATTGTGCCTGGCACCTTCTGTTGACCACTGGGACACATAATCAGCTATGATCATTTGGGGCTTTACCCCACTCTCCACAGTGACCCTATAGTACCTGCTTAAAATGTGTGAAGAGACATCACATGGCGAAGGACCAAAAGGTTGTGATAATAACTTGAAAACCTTTAGACTGGTTTTAGAGGTTAGTGCTGTAAGTTAAAAGCATTGAAACGAGTCATCACCATGATCCTTTGTGTAAAGGTCACCACTGGCTCTGGATAAAGCTGCCTCAGCTGGTCATTATCTGCTGTTAAAATTTTACAGATGGCTTAGTCGCTGTGGAAGCGCTGACCTACAAAATCTCACATAGGCTGTGGAGGAAAATAAAGGTGTAAATTATAGTGGTTCAAAAGCACGAATTCGACGTCATATGCTTGTATTAAATTGTGTTGGAAATGTAACCTTCTGGCCTTGGTGGGAGCAAAACATTTTTTGTGCAAAAAACAGTGAAAGGAAGAGAAATTGAGAGATGGACATGAAATCAAAACTGTTTTTTGAAACTAAATGGTGGACCGTTTAAAGTCTACAGTTATTTGTGGACACATTACTAAAGGTGTTTTTTATATATTTTATACACAATAAAAAGGAATAAATTCATGAAAAGCCTTAAAAACGTAATAAAAAATAACAATAAATAAACAAATATAAAAATAATAAAATTTTGTTAACAAACATAACTGCAGCACATGTAGATCACTTAAAAGATATTGCATTCAGCAACCAGAAATTGCCATTTGGTTCATTTGAGGTTCATTCAAGCTGGTCTATTGAAGGAGAAAAAGGGGGAGAAAGGAAAATGTCAAATGATCTAATTATTTTCAGTGAAGTTTTCACATCAAATCTAATAATGAAGATTAAAGCTAATGGAATGGTACTGATAAAATGGTCCGAAAAACGTGGATAGGTGAGACAGTGCTGCCTTTTCTGCCTAAGGGAATTAGATTCACCATAATTCCATTTGCCACATTATCTCATCTTTCACTCAGCTGCACCATGCAGGCAACCCAGCTCGCTCACAATGGTAAAAGCTGTGACTGTGTTGCATAAAAAAGGAACAGTTGTCAAAAAGTCATGGGCCTCTAAATCAAAAAGCACCCCTAAGTACATTAACTCCATGGAGAATAGAGATGGAATTAGTTTGTGCTTGCTCTGTAGATCTTAACAATTCCTTCTAGTCAGGGGAAGGAAAGATTATTTTATTTATTTTTTTGCTTTATATTAGCCAGTTGTCTTAGAGATGTCTGCTGACATTCATTTGAGAGTTACATAGAACTGCAAGCTGGACTGCAGTTTGCAAATCTGATTGAGTTTTGCAAGGACACGGAACTAGCTCAAGGTTCTGAAACTACTTACAATATTATATTTTAAAA